TACAGGTTGAGATTAATAGGAAGTGGAACACGTTAGAGAAAAGTTCTCCATTTGGATCACAGAATGATATTTTTCTAAAAATCCAAAAAACGAAGTTAAATCCTAAATCAGAATCTTCATCCGTATATTAATATGACCCTACAATTTCCGGAGCATGTTGTGAGAGCAGTGAACGATAAATAATAAATAAATAATAAATAATCTTCTGAGAGGCTATAAGGCATCGGATCCAGCCACCTACACTTAGAGGAAAGCTATAGGGTGAGATACACAAACTGCAGCAAAGTCAAACGCCATAATTTTTACATTTGTTTTTAAATTTTATTGAATGAACGCAAAAAATGTCGGAAATATCACCAAATTTTAGAATAAGTTTAGATTTGTTCGAATTGGTCAGCTTTGACCTTCAAACCGTCACACGCTACCCAAATGTTGATCTGCGGTATTTTGGCCCGTTCCCGGCGAAACGCTTGCTTGAGGTGATCGACACATTGGTATTTTTTTAGTGCCAACCTTGCTTTCCAAAATACTCCAGACACAATAGTCCAGTGTTGGGCAAAACTAAATTGAGAGCAAGTGTGTGCGAGCGTAATTGAGAATTCACCATTAGAAACAACTGACGTAAAGAGAAACCAGTAAGAAAATTAGTAAAGTCGGACGGAGCCGACTATATGATACCCTTCATCACTTTGGGTATATTCAACAGATGACAGACGTCACATTTTTAAAGGACCAGTGAAAAGAAATTGGATACATAAACATGTCATTCTGCAATTTATTACGATGTGCCAAATTTCATGCAAACCGAAAGATATTAAGGGACTTTGCTACAACATTTACCTTAAATCGGACGAAAATATATGTGGGAGCTATAACTAAATCTGCACCGATTTTCTGGAAACTTAACACACATCATTCTAGACTTAACTCATTACGCTGTGAGCTATATCTAAATCTGAACCGATTTTCAGGAAACTTAACACACATCATTCTAGGCCTAATTCATTACGCTGTGCCAAATTTCGTGCAAATCGAAAGATATATAGGGACTTTGGTGGACCATTTACCTTGAATCGGACGAAAATGTATGTGGGAGCTATAACTAAATCTGCACCGATTTTCATGAAACTTAACACAAATCATTCTAGACCCAATTCATTACGCTGTACCAAATTTAGTGCAAATCGAAAGATATATAGGGACTTTGGTGGACCATTTACATTAAATCGGACGAAAATATATATGGGAGCTATATCTAAATCTGTACCGATTTTTCACAATTTCAATAGGGTTCGTCCTTGGGCCAAATAAGTGACCTATGCCAAATTTCATTCAAATCGGATCATAAATGCGACCTGTACTTTGCTCACAAAAATACATGGACAGACATGCGTAAATCGACTCAGAAAGTGATTCTACACATATTCTCAAAAAGAACCACGTGTCTATCTCGTTTCCTTTTGCCTGTTACAAACATATGCACAAAGCTTTATACGAGTTATGGCCGGCGCTTAAGTTCTGGTCGCCAACCGAAGGTGCACATTTTCAGCTGACCTCTTTGGCAAATAAACACGATCATTTTTTCGGGAATTTACCACTTTCAGCCAAGCGAAGCAACTCTTTTGATTCTATTTTCTTTCTGTCGCGGTGTAAGTTCTTGCGCTTCAATCACGAATAACTTTTTTTCTAGAAAATTCTCACCAAAATGTTTTTGTACGCTTGTAAACAATATAATGATCTGTCACTGTCGGACAAGTGGCTTAGAAATGACTGCGATCTGAAGTTGGTTAATAATATAATGCATATAATGTTCAAAAGACCATGCAGCATTGCGTTAAGCTACAAAGAAACTCTATAACCAAAATCGTGAAAGATCAAAACTAATCCTGAACACAACAAAGAAGTTCTCCTTCTTGGGTCACAGAATGATATTTTTCCAGACTCCCATCTACTGGATAATCCCTAGTGGTATTCTGGAAATGTTCAATAATATTAAAAAATATTTTTTCAAGTCGCCTCCACAAGGCGTGTATTTTTAAAGAATATTTTTCGAAGCAAAGGGGGGCCCTGGGTATATTGCCGTCTATTTGAGAATGAATAATTAGCAACGATAGAACCATTACTTTACAAATACCAAATAATTCATAGCAAGTGTGGCACCAACATTTTGGCAGATATGAGATTTATACGCTAAATCTTTTCTCCGGAATAGATCCCACCAAAATTCATATATTTTTCTTTATTCAATCCACTTGGGAACATAATGAAATGAATAATGTTTTGTTATTTTTTCCTATTTCTAGATTAATAGTTTTGCTTCCGGTATTTCTAGGAGGATTAGATCTTCTAGCGCTTCGGGGAATCCAATCAAGTACGGCTATGTTTTCTGTATGTGTGGCCTATCCATTTTCTTTTTGTAATTTGGTGTTCAAAGGGGGTTTCATAGCGTTGCAAAAACATTATCCAAGAGATCCAGGAGTTTAAAAGGTAAAGAACAAAAGAGAATGGCGCCCAAACAAAAATTTGACACTGATATTCTTTCATAAATTGAATTGTAATACAATGCACTTTCAAGTGGCCTGTCTAAACTTCTTTGTATGTATCTCCACCCTTTAAAAATATACTAATTTCTATGCACCTTATCTCATTATTTCACTTCTCCCCTCTATTTTCATTTACATAGGATAAGCACAATGGACCAAAGGTCTGCAAACTGAAGCGACGGCTCAATATCTGACCCATGATGCAATAATAAGGTGATGTATCAAAACAAAAACCTTTGTTTTTGTTTTGACTATCTGTCAAATTTTTCCTTATAATATTTCACATGGTTGGCAACATTGCACATCGACTTCAAGTAGAAATTACGCACTTTGACAGTTAATCGAGACATCAGCTGCGCTAAATAGATTACCTATTTATTGTGCCATGGTCTGACCTAACATTTAATGTTATCAACCCGCTTTTAACAATTATTTCGAATACCATCTATAACGGCATTTACATCAGAACTTTTTACCGCGTTAAGCTACTTTATGAGGACTTATTAGACATATATACAACGGAATTGACAATTTAAAACCGCTGGCTTAACGAAATACGATTTAATGTAAAGGCGTATTTAAAAAATAATATTTTTTGTTTGTTGTGTAAATTCGTTAGCAAATCTTCAATCAATCATTTACTTGTGTCATTCATCTATGGTTAATCTTGACCTAAAATAATTGAATGCCATTTGATTTGTACAAAATATTGAAAAATATAAACAATGAGTAAATATGAGAGGCTGCATGCTGATTTTCATGGCGAGAACATCAGACAATGTTAATATGACGTAAATATTATTACACAGTTTGTAAATTTCACAATATACACATATGCTGTGTTCCCGTATTTCATTTGAACTAGTTATGGAACGCTAATGGTATGTTCAGAGAAAATGTCATTATAGCTCTGAGAGTTAAACCGAGAAACACGACAATTCTTCAAAAAATCAAATTCACCAGCCGACATATTTTTTATCTGTCAAAATGAAACCAGTGAAATGTCGTATGTAAACAAATAACAGCTGACTGGAAATTTTACATTATTTTAATATTAGTCTAAACAGCAAGGATGTAGTACTTCCATTTAGAAATCGGGGTCGACTTAGAAGGCAGTGTACAAGATCTATTGGGTGATGTAGGGGATAACAGATACAAAGCAACGGCTCTGATTGTCTTTAATATGGCGAAGCCCAGGCATATCTTGGTCCCTACTTCATCTCAATTGTGGCCACTGACACTCATCATCCATCATCCAAGTACACCCATAAGAACTATAAAAAATTGGTTGAGGGGCCGGGTTAGTTGCCCACACTCCGTAAACCCCTCTTACTATGAAAAAGCAAGGAAAAAAACTAAACCTCCAACGTATAAAGGACCAATCTGCACTTGGAATGTGCACACGTTGTACAGAACAGGCGCAGTTTTTTTTCGCCTTACAGGAAATGCGATGGATAGGGACTGGCGTAAGTAAATCAGATGATTACACCCTGTATTATAGCTGCCATGAAACGAGACGTAAACATAGCTGTGAATTTATGGTTAATAGGAGAATAAAAGACCTCGTCTCCAGATTCACTCCAGTAGATGAGCGAATTGCTATAATCCGTATAAAGCGAAGTTCTTCTACATCAGTGAGAAGAAGGCTGCCAAGTTGTGACTGACAATAAATGGCGAAAAGACAAAGCTGATGGTATCAACACTCTAGACGTCCAGTAGACTCGGACCAACTGTGGAATTTGAAAACTACAGCTTCGATGTAGTGAACGATTTTATATACCTCGGTACCGCCACAAATTAAACTAATGACATCAGTTTTGAAAGTCGGAGAATGATTGTCTGGTATGGTCTAAGTACTGTGGTCTAAGTAAGCAGTTTACAAACAAGGCTACCTCCCACCAGACCACAATTTAGAAGACGCTGATACTACCCGTGTTGTTATATGGAACTGAAGCATGGGTACTTGCGCAAGCAGATAAGGCAGCTCTTGGGGTGTTTGAGAGAAAAATTCTCTCTACGGGCCGATCTGCATCGACGGTGAATATCGGCGTCGAATGAACCACGAGCTTTACTATTTATACACGAACATCGACATAGTCAGTCGTATTGAGCTGCAGCGACTACATTGGTTAGGCCATCTTGTAAAAATGGATGAAGATGCCCCAGCTCAAAAGGCATATAAAAGCGAGCCTACTGCTGGTTCACGCAGAAGGGGAAGGCCACGAATCAGATGGAAAGACCAAGTAGAAAACAACATCTTGGTACGTGGTTTCTCAAATTGGAGGAGATGCGCCAAGACCGACGCGATTGGAAATGTTTTTTTAAGCTCGGCTTATGGAACAACCGTTTTGAAACAAGCCAGCTAAGTAAGTAAATAATTTTTTTTCTCTATTTTCAAATTCAATTTGCATTTTTCCACATTTTCTCCCCCATTTAATTACACTTCGTGAAACTTACTCGATTTTTCTTTTCCATTAATTCCTTTAAATTCTGTTGAATAATTTCATCATCGACCAATGAATCCATTCGTTTGGTGGTCGATGTTGCCGTTGATGAGGATATTGAAGGAGTTTTTGAATGGGTGGGCGAATCACTGCCATGTTGGATGACTTTTGGTGGAGAGGCTTTCGATGTTTCACTGGGCATTATATATTATTCTCTAATTTATAATAATTATCTATAAATATTTTTTTTATATTTTTTATTTATTTTTTTAATTATTTTAATTAACTATTTTCTTTGTTACACAATTTCCATAACAGGTTTTAATAAATATCTTTAACTTATTATTTTTTTAATTTTTTTTAAATTCTCTTATTTGCCTTTCGGGTTTTCATTCACTATTTTATTTTTTTAAACCACAAATTTCTTCGTCGCTTTTTTGCATAACTTCCCGTTCAACGTTCGCCCAAAAGAGACTAATCAAAACTAACGAATAATTTCACTCACTGCGATCCGTTTCGAGAAATTCCCGTCGGGCGCCATAAAGAGCTGAAGGAAGACTTCAGCTAAAATGTTCGTTTGCATACTAAATCGAAATGAATGAAAATCGTTTTTTGGCCTGCAAATGGCCACGTACAGGCTCGTGAATTTCCGAATAAGAAAAAACAAAAGTTTACAATTTCTTCACTACTCTCGTTTCATGGGGAAATACAGCCAGACGTACGATCGGTCCATCGGTGAAATGTAAACAATCTCACCAACAAAAAAATCGTTTGTCTGTTTGTTTGCATACTGACTGTCTGCCTGTGCCTTGGGAGGATGAGAAGGTGATTCGCCATTATTTTTCCTGCAGTTATTTGAATGTCTGTGTGTGTATGTTGTTATTGATCATAAATTAACTTCAAGTCGATAAACAATTCGATTCAATTCGGACATTTTCGCTGTTTTCATTTTTTTCTTTTGAATATAAAAATGCATACCAAATTTTTGGTAGAATTTTTTCATTTGGGATTATAACAATATTGGTCGAATTTTGTATAAAATATAAAACGAAATTTACATTAGAACTTTTTACCGGGTTAACCTACTTGATGAGAATTTATTTAACATATACATGCAACAAAGTCAAAAGTCATAATTTTTACATTTTTTTTAAATTTTATTGAATGAAAGAAAAAAATTTCGGAAATAGCATCAAATTTTAGAATAAGTTTAGATTTGTTCGAATTGGTCACCTTTGGCACGAATTATGGCTTTCAAACGGTCAATGAAACCATCACACGCTGCCCGAATGTGGCTCTGCGGTACTTTGGTCCATTCCCGGCGAAGCGTTTGCTTGAGGTGATCGACGCTTTGGTATTTTTTTAGTGCCAACCTTGCTTTCCAAAATATTCCAGACACGATAATGCAATGGATTGGTATCCGGAGATTTTGGTGGCCATTGTACGCTGGAAATGAAGCGAGGAACCTCATTTTGTAAACATTCATGGGTGGCGCGTGCTGAGTCCTGTTGGAATGTCCAAGGTCTGCTGCCAAAATGTTTGCGTGCCCAAGGGTTTAATACACCCTGCAGAATATTTTCGCGATAATATTCCACATAGCCCAATATGCCTGATGAGCCGCTTAACCAACGTCGAAACGCGTAGCATAATGGTGGGTAGGTAGGTTCTTCTCCTGGGTTTCCTTTTCATTGCAAAAATTAAATCATTAATCTCAACTCGAAAGAGTATAAATAATCACTTAAAATTCCGCATTTATTCTGAAGCGAGCGGCCCACACCATCACCATGGCCGGCTCTTGATTTCTGGTGGCCAACAATTTTCAGGTGCACATTTTCAGCTGACCACTTTGGCAAGTAATAACGATAATTTTGTTTGTTTACAAAGTGCTAGACAACGAATCTTTTCTCATCGGAGAAAACCAAATTCGGCAGTTCACCACTTTCGGCCAAGCGAAGCAGCTCTTTTGCGTCTATTTTTTTCTGTTGCGGCGTAAGTTCTTGCACTTTTTGAAATTTCAATGGCTTTACCCAGAGCTCATTTTTCATTCAATATTTCTGTCCAATAAAAAATTGCGATATGTTCAGCTCACGAGCCACTTTTTTCGGCCACTGCGACGCGTGTTTCGATCAAATCGATTCTTTACATTTCGAACCATTTCTGCTGATGTTGCTGTTTTCTTCCGTCCACTTCCTTGACGTGTGACAATGTCCGTGTAAATATGGTACAACTCATAATTCATTCGACGCCGATATTCGCCATCGACACAGATTGGGTTATAGAAATTTCTGAAAATTTTTCTCTCAAACACTCCAAGAGCTGCCTCATCAGCTTGTGCAAGTACCCATGTTTCTGATCCATACAACAACACGGGTAATATCAGCGTCTTGTAGAGTGTGAATTTTGTCGGGCGGGGGTGGCCTTGTTTCTAAACTGCTTACTTAGACCATAGTAGCATTCAAAACTGATATCATTAGTTTTTTATGGCAGAACCAAGGTACATAAAATCTTTGACTACCTCGAAACTGTATTTTTCAATTTCCACAGTTGGTCCGAGTCTACTGGACGTCTTGCGGGTTGATACCATCAGCTTGGTCTTTTCGCCGTTTGGCAGACTCCTTCTCAATTGGTGTTCAAAGGTGGCTGTTGCCATTCGCAATGTTCGACCCATTATTTCGATGTCATCGACGTAGACGAGTAACATGTGTTGTTTGGTGTACTACCAGTCTTGAATAGTTTGGCTGGTAACCCATCGGTTCCTGCTGCTTTATTACTCTTTAGGCGATTGAATGCTATTCTGACCTCATCTCCCTAGGCTTGGTGGTATACACACTATACCGTCATCTCTTATTAGCTCTAGGGTAATGGTTTTCTAACTATGTTAATATTTTTTTGGGTCAAAACTTTCGACAATTATTTTTGGAAATTGAGGCAACCCTGTCCCGTACACTGGACAATTTGGTATGCGAATAAGTTTTTTTAAATATATTTTGCTACTGTTTTGAACATTGTCCATATGTGTGTAACGGAAATCATTTTCGGAAATTCAGCAACATCATCGATGGATGGGTAGTGGAGGTGGGTATAGAACACACACACTCATATATGTAGGTGTTTATATAAATTGATTGTATTCCAACTGCTGCTACAGCTACTGCATGCCACATAAAACGTAATAAAAGTGTAAATTTATGACCAAATATCCCGCTATTGATTACATGATTAAGTTCTTGTTTTTTCTCTCTTTTTGTGTACTTTCATAAAAATACACTTTTTATTATCCGAATTTTTGTTAAAAGAAAGTCTATAAACAAATGAATTTATTATTGCTGTTCGATTTCGATTCTGAGTTTGTTTTTACATTACAACAAAGTGATGTGATCATGATGGAAATTTTGTAAGTTTTGAGGAAAAATTTTGCATTGAAAGTGGGTGGTAAAACAGAAGAATCTCACAAAATCCGCTATGTAGTAGTTTATAGGTTCACATGTGTCATAAATGATATGAACTGCCACCGAAAAGCCAAATAGTGTTTGACTTGATGTTTGTGAATTTCATTTCCGGCTGGCGTCCACACATATACTTTATTGTCCAATGTACCCCTATTGGGCGCCACTTTTTTTCGAATTTCATAACCGACCGCCGTCCACACACATATTGTTGATTATCCTTTGTACAATTGTTGGGCGCCACAAAAAATTGTAAATGTTATTAAATATCATGTATTGAACAGAGTGGTGCATAAAAAATGTTCGGCCCCACCTCCACTTCTGGTACGATCGTTCCTCAGCGTAAGCATCAGAACGCTGTAGGCTAAAATTTTCACTGAGATTGTTTCCTGCACCGCGTGGGAAAGAAGATGTCGTCGCAGTCAGACCAAAACGGATCAGGTTTGAAAGTGGACACCAATTCATCTTACCGACACTAACCGGTATTGAATGATGATGTGAGATACCGAACAGAACCACAATCCACGGGAGCGAGGTAGAGGCTATTATCTTCAAATCCAAAGCTCTTAGTCCAGACGGCATTTCCATATTCATGTTACAGAAGCTTGATCTGAACAAAATCCTCGAATCATCGATTCCTGATATTTGAAAAGTTGCCCGGATTATTCCAATTCTAAAACCAGATAAACCCGCTACTATTGCTATCGTCCAATTTCTCTTCTTTCGCCAGTAGCCAAGGTTTTAGAGTCGCTATAGCTCCGTCCCTAAAACAGTATTTCGTTCTTGCTACCCACCAACTTGGTTTCAGGGAAACATATAGCACAACAACAGCTTTGCAAGAAATTACTTCCGAGATTGCGAATAGACTCAATTAGCGATGACCACCTGAACGGATTTTTGTGGCAGCCTTATATCTTATATATTCCGAGCTGATATCCGACATCATAAATTCCTTCCGTCCGAGTGATATCAAGCGTTACCAACTACCTTAATGATCGGCAATCCTTCGTTAAGTTCCGTGGCCAAAAATCAAAATATCGCCAGATCAAAATGGAAGTACCGCAAGGTGGTGTCCTATCTCCCATTTTGTTCAATATATATCATGCGAAACTCTTCATTCCTCCACCAGTTATTTCAGTGATGTCGTACGCCGATGACTGTAAAATTATTTCGTCCGGCGTTAACACTGACGTAAGTGCAAAAAATTCCAACTACTTTGCCACCATCACCAACAGAAATGGTTCAAAAAGAAAAGAAGCGACTTGATCGAAACCTGCGTCGCAGTGGCCGAAAAATGGCTCGTGAACTGAATATATCGCAATATTCCATTCCGCAAATATTGAAAAATGAGCTCGGGGTAAAGCCATTAAAATTCCAAAAATTGCAAGAACTCACACCACAACAGAAAGAGAATAGACTCAAAATAGCTAAAGAGTTGCTTCGCTTGACCGAAAGTGGTGAACTGCCGAATTTGGTTTCTCCGCTGAGAAAACATTCGTTGTCCGAATTTAGTTTCTCCGATGAGAAAACATTCGTTGTCCAGCAGTTTGTTAACAAACAAAATGCAGTTTGTAAAATACTGGCCAAAGAGGTCAGCTGAAAATGTGCACCTTCGGTTGGCCACCAGAACTCAAGACCCGGTCATGGTGATGGTGTGGGCCACAATAACAGCCGATGGTCGTATTAATCGACCGTTGCATCAGCATCAGAATAAATGCCGAACACTATCGCGAAAATATTCTGGAGGGTGTTTTAAAGCCTTGGGCACGCAAACATTTTGGCCATAGACCTTGGAAATTCCAACATGACTCAGCACCATCGCACTCAGCAGGCGCCATCCAATAATGGTTACAAAATGAGGTTCCTCTCTTCATTTCCAACGCCCAATGGCCACCTAAATCTCCGGATACCAATCCGTTGGACTATTGTGTCTGGAGTATTTTGAAAGCAAGCGGTTCGCCGGGAATGGGCCAAAATACCGCAGAGCAACATTCGGGTAGCGTGTGACGGTTTCAATGGCCATTTGAAGGCCATAATTCGTGTCAAAGGTGACCAATTCGAACAAATCTAAACTTATTCTAAAATTTGTTGATATTTCCGATTTTTTGTTTTCTTTCTAAAAAATTAAAAACAAAAAAAAAATGTAAAAACATTCGGGTAGCGTGTGACGGTTTCAATGGACATTTGAAGGCCATAAATCGTGTCAAAAGTGACCAATTCGATCAAATCTAAACTTATTTTAAAATTTGATGATATTTCCGATTTTTTTGCTTTCTTTCAATAAAATTAAAAATAAAAAAATGTAAAAATTATGGCGTTTGACTTTGTTGTAGGTTTTTTTATCTCACCATGTATATTCCGACCATACATACATTCAGACCGAAACAAGATTTTGGTAGTTTCGGGCGCCGACCCGGTACTGTAGAACCCACTGCCTTGGAATATCATTTCCTTTAGCTACAATCTCATCAAATTAATACCTCATTTGAATTGTCAATTCCACCGAATTAACATTACTGAAAAATTATGGCTCTAATGGCATCCATTAACACTATAATTTAGTACGTGCCGATTTGAAAAAAAAAATAGGTAAATTGGTTCATAATTTATTATAATTATTAATCAAAACTATCAGCACAACCATCTGTAAAATTTTTTATCCAACAATTATCACATTTTTAATGGCATGAATAATTATGTATCGAAATTTTGCAATAATTACCTACATATATAATGCCATGATCTATTAATAAGGTCAACAAGATAGCAATCGAAATCGGAAAACAGCTGTTTTTTCTCAAGTCTAATGTCAAAAATTTCCACTTTGTTTACTTTTTCATAATGGAAGTCAATTCACAATAATGCATTTTGACAGCAAACTTGAGAGGTATCGATAATCAGCTGGTCTCCCTTGGTGACCTTATTTATAGGCCATGTATAATGCCAAATGTTAATTAATCTTGTCTGTTTACTCAAAAGGCCAGCAAATGAGAGCAAAAACGAGAGAACAGCTTTCGATCAGCTGTTTTCGCTCAAGGCTTATTTGACGTATTGTCAAGTAACATCACATCTAAATGACAGATTTAATATAAATATGATTTAATGCTGCAATACATGTGTAATTGACTAGGGACCTTTCTATGTATTGATTTTTTTTAAATAAATAAATGACAAATAAACATTTACATCAGACTTTTAATATGATAAATACCCATTCATAATTTTTTAAATGTTCAAAACAATATAAAACCCTCTTCTTAAATTGGTTCTCTCCAATAAAAATAATGCGGAAATATTTGTTGTTTATTTTGTTTATTAATTCAGAAGCAATTTTTTTTATTTAAGAATTGGTCTGTTCCCTTACTGCAAGAACAGACCAAATATGTTTTTTTAATATTAACCGAAATAATAATAACATTAAATTCGTGTATAAACAATTAATATTATTTTTTCAATACCAATAAATGCCATATCAATCAATCTATGTATTTATGCCTATTACCGTCTGACGCGTCAGTCAAAAAACAGCGAAGCAAAAAAAAAAATGAAAAATTTCATTGCCAAAATCGACAAGCAGGGGAAAATAATAAACATATTGCAGGTAATAATTCAATGTAAACAAAAAAGACTGGCACAGAGTATTGAAACTTATTTTTGGAGTTCTATGAACTTTTGTTAATAAAAAAATCCACGTCTTATTGGGACGTTAGAAAAATATTCTTTAAAAATCAACGCCTATACAAGGCCTTAGAAAATATTCTTTAATGAAGATGAATATGTCCAATTTGTGCTACTAAGAGAAGAAGAATTTAAGTGTTAATTAGGTAAAGAAAAATATGACTACGTCAATAAATGTTTATATTGTCAATTCCTTTGTATATATGTCAAATAAATCTTCATAAAGTAGGTTAACCCGGTAAAAAAAGTTCTGATGTAAGTTCTGTACATTACAACTTTTTACCGTGACAGGAGAAATATATGCAAAGGAAATGTATGAAACCCATGTGGTTAAGTGTGTGTGTAGTTCTGTTTGTGAGAGGGGAAATTAGGTGTATGTTATAATGAGGTAAGTGTGTGTGTGGCTTTTGGGGCCCTTTAAATAATCGATTTAAAATTGAAGGTCGGGCATAGTTGGGGAACGTGTAAATCAAGTTCCCGTGTCATGGATGTATGGTGTTTATGTTTTTTTTTGTGTTATTTGTTCGTGATACGATCCAGTTTTTCAATTTGTGCATTCCCTACGGTTGATGGTGGCAAGAGTTGAGAATTCCCCCTAATAAACTAATGTTCCCGAAGTGAGCTGGCATGGGCTTGAATGTATTAAGCTTGAATGTAACAAATATTCTTTAAAAAGTCCACGCGTATACAAGGCCTTAGAAAAATATTCTTTAAAAAGTCCACGCGTATACAAGGCCTTAGAAAAATATTCTTTAAAAAGTCCACGCGTATACAAGGCCTTAGAAAAATATTCTTTAAAAAGTCCACGCGTATACAAGGCCTTAGAAAAATATTCTTTAAAAAGTCCACACCTATACAAAGCCTTAAAAAAATATTATTTAAAAAATCCACGCCTTATTGGGGCCTTAGAAAAATACTCTTTAAAAAATCCGAGCCTTAGAAAAATATTCTTTAAAAAATCCACGCCTATAGAGGCCTTACAAAAATATTATTTAAAATATCCACGCCTTATTGGGGCCTTAGAAAAATATTCTTTAAAAAATCCGAGCCTTATTTGGGCCTTAGAAAAATATTCTTTAAAAAGTCCACGCCTATACAAAGCCTTAAAAAAATATTATTTAAAAAATCCACGCCTTATTGGGGCCTTAGGAAAATATTCTTTAAAAAATCCGAGCCTTATTTGGGCCTTAGAAAAATATTCTTTAAAAAATCCACGCCTATAGAGGCCTTACAAAAATATTATTTAAAAAATCCACGCCTTATTGGGGCCTTAGAAAAATATTCTTTAAAAAATCCACGCCTATAGAGGCCTTAGAAAAATATTCTTTAAAAAGTCCACGCGTATACAAGGCCTTAGAAAAATATTCTTTAAAAAATCCACGCCTTCTGTAGGTCCTTAAAAATCTTGACAAAATATTCTTTAAAAAATCCACGCCTTATTGGGGCCTTAAAAAATATTCTCTAAAAAATCCGCGCCTTGTTAGGGCCTTAGAAAAATATTCTTTAAAAAATCCAGACCTTACAAAAATATTCTTTAAAAAATCCAGACCTATGGAAGGCATTAAGAAAATATTCTTAAAAAATCCACGTTTCTTAAAGGCCTTACAAAAATATTCCTAAAAAAACACACGCCTATCAGCTGTCCCTACTAATTTTTTCATTTTTGACCTTCTTAGAAATTCTTTTTTTCTGTTAAACAAAAATCGTTCAAATAAAAATACCTCTCGTTGAAATCCCATGCTCTTAACACGTGTAAACAAAAAATACCCAATTTAGCGATTTTTCGGGCAAACGTACATTGACAACACTGCCACGTTGACGGGTTAATTGACAGCAGAAAACAATTTTCTCCTGCCTGAAATGTTGATGTTGCGACTCTGTGAAGAAAAAAAGGATAAGGCCGTATGTGAGATACACTTTTTCCCCAGCAAAATAAGCAAGTAAAATAAAAGTTCCAATACAAATCCGAAAAAAAGAAACAATTATGCACAGCTTATAACAGTAGATTTGTCGAAATATACGCTATAAATAAAAGCGATAAAATAGTGATTTTGTGAAACAGCTGAAGTGGCAGCTGGCAGTGCCTCACACACAGAAGAAATATATCAACGCAGCCAGCAAGCAATAGAAAGTAAGCAGCTAGCGATAGTGGAGAAGGGAATTCCGTTTGTGTGGTGGTCCAAAGAGAAGACTCAATAATGTCGAACGGCAATCGTGGACCAGGTCCCATACCCAATCGTTGGCTGTATTGTCCGCGTAAGAGCGAAGGTATTATAGCGGAGAAATTTATTGCCTTTAAGACCCCGTTGAGTGCAGCATTCGATGACCAAATGCCGATGGAATGTATGTTCCATCCGGAAATGATATTCGGCTACTGCAAGACCTTAAAACTTAATCTAGGTCTATGGATTGATTTGACAAATACCAAGAGATTTTATGATCGTGCTATTGTCGAGGCCAAGGGCACACAATATGTTAAACTGCAATGTCGTGGTCATGGTGAGACACCATCACCCGAACAGACACAATCCTTCATTGAGATTGTCGACAATTTTATCAATGATCGTCCATTCGATTTAATTGGTGTACACTGTACTCACGGTTTCAATAGAACGGGGTTCCTAATTGCCTCATATTTGGTGGAACGATTGGATTTCTCGGTGGAGGCGGCATTGGCAATGTTTAGTAAAATACGACCACCGGGTATCTATAAACAGGACTATATCAATGAATTGTACAGGCGTTATGATGACGAAGAGGATGCTCCAACAGCACCCGAACTACCCGGTTGGTGTTTGGAATATGATGATTCGGATCGTGGGAAAAAACGTAGTTACGATGAAATGGCTCATTCGTCGAATTCGCAAATGGCCAAGGCAGCACGTTCTTCCGCAGCAGCAGCACATTCCAATGGTGGTAGCTTAGGACTTATAGATTCATTAGACGATGGAGGTGGTGATGATGATAATGATGGCGGGGAAGCGGATGGTGACGATTTGGCAGATGCTGATGATGGCAACGAGGCTGATGGTAATGGTGGTGATGAAGGCAGCTCCTCATCGAATGGTGGTAAAACACGAAAGAAACGACGTCGAGAATTGGTCATAAAAAATGCCAAATTTATGGATGGTGTACCAGGTGTGACATGGGTCAGTGATCAACCACGTTTGGGTGATTTACAACAAATGGTACAAGATATGTGTGGTTGGAAGAAAAGCGGATTTCCTGGTTGTCAACCTGTGTCAATGGATCGTCAAAATATGAAGAGATTACAAGAGATTCCATATCGTGTTTCGTGGAAGGCCGACGGTACAAGGTGAGTTAAGAGAAATGTTTGAGAAGTTAAAAAAATAATAATAATGAAGGGCCTTATAAATCGATTTATAGGTGACCCACTCTTAAGAGTCTTCGATGTACCAATAGAAGAGGACTTCTGTTTAGAGAAAATCAGAATCGTGTATAAGTAGAAACCGATCAAGAAGATTCTGAAGATTTCTTTTGTGTTTCGAGGATCTCCTTTTTATAGAGACCCTCAAAAGTTATTTTGTACGTAGATCTTCTGTAGTTAAAACCCTAAAAAAATCTTCTATAAATAGAAAACCCTCATGATTTCTTATATAAAAATATTCTTTAAAAAATCCGTGCATATACAAGGCCTTAGAAAAATATTCTTTAAAGCAACCCACGCCTATAGAAGGCCTTAGAAAAATATTCTTTAAAAAAATCAATCCTGTAGGGTGCTTGGAAAATATTGTTGGAAACTATTATTGGTGACACCTCTCCTGTCTCCTTCTTATTAATCCTTTTTTATTTTTCTTTCTATCTCTTTCCAGATATATGATGTTAGTCAAAGGACGTGATGAAATCTATTTCATTGATCGCAACAATTCGGTATTTCAAGTAGAAAATTTAACATTTGTAAAATACAACAACCTGCATGAACATCTCGAAAATACTCTTTTGGATGGGGTATGTGTAAATAAACAAAAAACATCAGAAAAAATATTCACATTTTTATCTCTTTTCTGATTTCAGGAAATGGTATTGGATAAATACAATGGCCAAATTACACCGCGTTATCTCATCTATGATATTATCAAAATTGGCAGCCGTGACATTGGCAAAGAAAATTTCTATCCAAATCGTTTGCAATGCATCGATATGGAGGTGATTATGCCACGACATAAAGCCATTGAAAAGGGTATCATTAATCGTCCCTCCGAACCGTTTAGTCTGCGTAAAAAAGATTTTTGGGACATAAGACAATCGGCATCGTTGTTGGGTGAGAAATTTGCCAAAAGTTTATGCCATGAACCGGATGGTTTGATATTTCAACCATCGGAACAGCCCTATACGGCTGGTGTTTGCCCGGATGTCTTCAAATGGAAACCATTGGATATGAATTCGGTAGATTTTCGTTTAAAAGTGCATACCGAATCTGGAGCAGGGTAAGCTATTGGGTTTCTTTTTATGGCTATGCCAGATTAATTGTGATTTTATTTTTTTGTAATCCTAGCATTCTTACCCGCAAGGTGTGTTACCTTTATGTGGGTGGCCATGATCCACCCTTTGCCCAAATGCCATTCACAAAAACCATAAAGGCAATGAATTTGGATAACAAAATTGTAGAGTGTACCATAAATGGCCAGGGCCAGTGGGAGTTGATGCGTGAACGTACCGATAAAACAATGCCCAATAGTTATAATACTGCCATGTGTAAGTATGAATGCCAAAATGTACTTCCCAGTACCATTATTAACTTAAAAATATTCCTGCAATTTTTAGCTGTCATCGAGAGTATACGTAATCCCGTTACAAAAGACATACTTCTACATTTTATCCATCACAATGGCTTTAGGAATGATAATGATATGATGCCACCGCCACGCAGCAATAATCAACATCATCATCACAACAATCAACAGCATCATCATCAGAGGCAACATCAACAACAACAGCAGCAGAAACGCGAACATTATCATCAACAACAACAGCAGCAGCAGCAGCCGCAGAGGTGGCCGAACTTGCCACCTCCTAATTAATAGTTTTTAAGAATTTTGACAGAAAGCAAAAAAAAAATGAAATGAAATTAAATGTTTCTAAATATCGCGTAAAGGAAATATTGCCCAAACACACACACACACTCAAATGTTGTCCACAAAGAGACAAAACGGTTTTTTTAACTGAAATCTAGTTTTAATTGCATATTTTAAACAAACAAATTAATCAACAATCATCAATGATAGTGACCAAGTTAGCTATCGTCGTAAAAAAAAAACAAATACAAATACAAATCAAGACAATTGTTGTATGGAACCAATACAAAACAAAAAGAAAATGAAGATAGCAGTCAAGACAGAATTGTGTTTCTTGAAAAAAATTGAATGAATGTGAAATGAATTTTTTATAAGGCAAATATGGAGGTGATCATATTTTTGGAGGTAAGTGGAAATACAATTTTGAATTTATTCCCAGAATTCCCACAATTTTGAAGGAGATGGAAAAAAATAGAAAGAAAAAGATACGAAATGTATTGGTATTTTGTGAAAAGTAACATGAATGAGGGCTTCGATGGACCCTCCATTAATCAACCCCAATCAGGATCAACCCCACAATGTTGTGTCGATGATACACTCACTCGAGTGTCAACAAACTGTACCTTCCAGACGATATGGTTCTCACGACAATCGGATATACGCTCCGGAACGACCCGAGTTCGACTCGGCCAGGGATTGTCAAAACACAGCGACATCTGTACCAAATGAAAGTTTTTTCCATAGGTGAACAAATCACGTCGACAGCTTTGCTCTCCATTTTTTTAATCCGTGCCGGCGTTGAACAAATACCAGGCCCTGATGTCTGGTTTTGTTCAGTGTGTCATTTACGCATCGCTGCAAATCACCTGAAGAGGTCCTCAGTCTCATCCGGTAGTATTCTTACTAGTAGAAGAGCTAGTTATTCCATTAGCTCTTCCTCCAGGTCTGCTGCTAGCTCCCCGGCTTGTTTTCCGTTAAGCAGAACTTCTACCAGTTCCAATGCTGGTAGTTTTTGGAAAGTTCCCGGATTCTAAAACCAGATAAATCCGCTACGAATGGGAAATCCTACTACCCGATTTCTCTTCTTTCACCAATAGTCAAGCTTTTAGAGAGTTTCTATAGAAAATCTTCAATTCAGCCTGGCTTAATAAGAGTTTCTATAGAAAATCTTCAATTCAGCCTGACTATAAGAGTTTCTATAGGAAATCTTCAATGCAGCCTGGCTGAATATGGGCTCGTTCGGTTGCACCGGGTGGTGGTGGTTGGCGAGAGCGAGCTGGCTGCCGGTGGCTGTTGCATCGTGGGCTTTCTTATGGTTCTATTTGTTTTCACGAGGTTCACGCCTCATGTTGATGTCGTGAAGGCTGTCCGTAAGGGGGGTTTTTGTTGAGTGTTTGTGTTGTCCGTTGCCGCGGGGTCTTTGGGCCCTTGGTGCAGTCCTTCTGCCTTCTGTATGCTCTCCAATTGGTACAGCACTTCGGTGCTGGTGGGGAAAAGGGAAGTCCTCTATGATGATTCCACTATTTCTATTTATAACCTAATTTCCCCAAAATATCTTTTGAATCTCAAGGTAATTCTTCAATATACTTGATCACAAGTCTCCTTCAAGTATTTCTCACTTGAAGACTTCTTTTTCCCCAGCCGAATAGAAAAATCCATAATTTTTTTCTTATACATTATAATTGTTCTAATTATTATATTTATTATAATAAAAAAATATATTCGCGTTAGTCCACCTTTATCATCTTAAGATGCTACCATTTCTAATTAGCTCCTCTTCCGTTACCAAACCAATATTTTTCAAACACACCAATGCGGCCGCTTGCTCAGCTTGCTTTTTATTTTTCGACCAAAATGTGGAACGATAACGTTTACCATCAAATTTACAAATTGAACGAAAGAGTTTATCTTTGCCCTCGGTATCGTAGACTGGTTGCAATATTTCATTTTTATTCGCATGCACATAGAGTAGAGTTTTGGGAAATTTATCGTTTTCTGAAAAAAGGACCAAAGGGAACATTCTTGAGAGTATGTTTAAGGCTATAAATCGAATAATACTTACTCATATCATAGTTACATCTTAAGAATGCAATATTCTCTTCAATAATATCGCTATCATCGTCATTTTCATTATTACCATTTTCCAGTTTGGCTTTTTTCGCCACAGTCTCAAGTATATCGGAATCGGGTACTTGTCCCGGTATAACTTTCCTTCGACCAAATGCACCTTTCTTATGATGTTCTAATTCTTTTTGACGACAATAGTCGCCCATGTTCCAAATGTCACTGAAAAGAAGGAGGAGGAAAGGGATACAATATATAGAATATATCAACAACGCCGTATTTTGGGTCCTTAAATGTATACAAATGATCCGAAATACCATCGAATAATGAATGAATATGAGTTTCTATAGAAAATCTTCAATTCAGCCTGGCTGAATAAGAGTTTCTATAGAAAATCTTCAAGTCAGCCTGGCTGAATAAGATTTTCTATAGAAAATTTTCAATTTAGTCTGGCTGAATAAGAGTTTCTATAGAAAATCTTCAATTTAGCCTGGCTGAATAAGAGTTTCTATAGAAAATCTTCAATTTAGCTTGGCTGAATAAGGATTTCTATATAAAATCTTCAATTCAGCCTGGCTGAATAAGTGTTTCTATAGAAAATATTCAATTCAGCCGGGCTGAATAAGAGTTTCTATAGAAAATCTTCCATTCATCCGGGCTGAATAAGAGTTTCTATCTTCAATTCATGCTGGCTGAATATGATATTCTATAAAATTCGTCAATATGAATTTCTATAGAAATTCTTCAATTCAGCCTGGCTGAATATGAATTTCTATAGAAATTCTTTAATTCAGCGTTGCTGGCTGAATATGAATTTCTATAGAAATTCTTCAATTCAGCCTGGCTGAATAAGAAGTTCTATCTTAATTCCTGCACAATGCATCTTGGAGGTTTTCTAACTGACATTTCAACTCACCACATTTGTTGCATTGTCTGGGATTTCAGGAACAATTTCCCTCTTGGAGTTTCTTGCTGTTCCCTCATGACACTTTGTATGCCATATTTGGTATTGTGCGGTGGATTGTCATAGTCGACGCTTAACTTTAAATATTTACAAATCAGCTCATCCATGGGTAACAAACCTGCAAAAGTAATTTAACTGAATTAATAGAAGTAAATGCAAATCAAAAACGCTAGATCTCCCCACCTTCTTTCCGAAATATGGAAACGTTCATTTGAGCCGCCCTGGCCACCATTATACTTGATGCTCCGCACAAATCACGAAACTTTAAAATATCTTCGTATTTTTCAATATCCCTCGATCCGCCATTGCAAATAACAGGTATATCAATATGTTTTACCACCTCCCGTATGACATCGGGATGGGGGCTATGCTGTGGCCTCTCATCACGAGTGCGAGCATGTATACCGATTGCGGCAATACCTGTACCAGCTAAACGCTTTACCAATTCAATGGTATCTTCCAGATTTGGTAGAATTCTTATTTTGCACGTCACCGGTATATCCAAATTATCCACCAGAGTTTTGAGGATGTGACAGGCTTTGTCTGGCTGAGCCAACAACGCCACACCCATACCCCCCTTAATGGAAAATTCCTTGGGACAACCCATATTTATATCTAATCCGGAAATGTCTTGTTGTATTTTCTTGCCCACAGCCAAGGCACGTTCAGCATCACAGGTGCCCATTTGTAGGACCAACTGGGGTTTTTCCAAACTGCAGGTACGAAAGCTAACCGTGCCATCGGAGGGATCAACATAATCAATGGTACCCAATGCCTCTGGAGGGAAAAAGGAATAGAATTTGCATTGTTTTACCAATGAATGAAATGTGTCCCTCATCGTCCAACTCACCATTAACACTCCGGACACACTTGACCAATTTCAAATCAATCAATTCCTCTGTGTAGACAATGTCGGCTCCCATTTCTAATGCCAATAGACGTGTCGGCAATGTCCCCACCCTTACCATGGGTGCTAATATGATTTTGTTGCTATAGTCCAGTTTTCCTGCCGTCATTTTGGTGCGTAAACAATTCCAAAACGTCTTCAAAAACATGAATTGTTTTGTTTGCCTCATCAGCTGTTGAGCCATGTGCGGTCGTCAGTGCAAGGTAGATAGATATAAATATACCTTGCGTCAGTGAAATTCATATGGCGGTCGATAAAACTGTTTTTCGTTGCGGTGAAGTGATGTGGCTATACATCAGTTCACCGTTTTGTCGGTCGGTGTCGATTAAACAGTATCTAAAAAACCAAATAGTGCAGGTTTTCCAAGAAGAGTTGTAATTTTTGAATTGAAAGGGAAATTTATTTTCTGTGATAGATGAATTGGAACCTGAACGTGATAAACCTTCGTACAATACCAAATATAGCTTAAAAATTGTCGATATTTACCCATAGATCTTATGGAGAATTTTTCTCTCTCAATCACCGCAAGATCTACCTCATCTGCTTGCGCAAGTACCAATGCTTCAGATCCATGTAACAGCACGAGTAGTATCAGCGTCTGGTAGAGTGTCAGTTTGGTAGGTGAGACCTGAGCACCTCCTCAGGTGACACCAATTGTTGCAAACATTCCATCATACTGAGGTGGTATTAGCAGCGATACGTAGATGACACACAGAACAAAACCCCGACATCCTGGTCCTGGATTTTATTCAACGCCGGGACGAATTAGAAGGATGTCGAGCAAAACTGCCGACATGATTTGCTCACCTGTAGAAAACATTTTCGTTTGGTACAACTGTCGCTGAGTTGACAATCCCTGGCCAAGTCTAGCTCGGGTCATTCCGTAGCGTAGATCTGATTGACGTTAGTAGTCGTTTATTGTGGTGAATATTCCACATATTCTTCTATACCATGTAGAGGCCTTCTATAATAATATCATCTTAACCCCAAGGAGAATTTGCATACAAACCAAATTCACCTTGGGGTAAGTCAGATCCATACCAGATTTTCAAAAAAGAGGGAAAATATAGAAAACAAAAAACCAAAACAAATTTTGTGATTTGTTTTTTTTTTATTTCACCAAATTCTTATAGAATTTTGTTGTTGAACAGATTCACTTACAGATGAATTTTAAATGGGAATTTTTTTATAAACATTTCTTTTTAATTCTTTACGAACATTTGTTGTGGTAGGTGTGTTTTTGGATTTATAAAATAAATAAATTTTAACAGAATATCTATAACTATACATATATTGGAGATAGGTTTCACAAAAAAGACTTAACAACAAAAATATACAATTTTTTTATAAACTTACACTAAATATAAATTTTATCTGTTGTGGTGTGTAACGTTACGATTTTGTTCCAGGGCTTGAAGTAAGTCTTGACTGATTAATATACAAGTAAAAAAACAAAGTAAATATTTAATGTTATAGCTAATAAATTCTACAAAAAAAATAAATGTTATGATTGTGATGATCAATGTCTGCGAAGAAGGGCCTCACGATTTTGTTTTCTATACAAAAGGCCTCACGATTTATTTCCTATAGAAAGAGGCCTCACAATTTATTTCCTATAGAAACAAATGACCTCAAATGGCCTAACGATTTATTTCCTATAGAAAATTGGGTCCTCAAACGTCACACACTCCCATTGTCCTAGACATTGTGAACACTCTCAAATTCTTCGTGACGTTTATCGATACGCTGACAACGACAACACGACGACATTGATTTCCAACAATTACGATGAAAACATGAGCCACAACGATCACAGCGAACAACCCGCGAATCCCATGGATATATAACACTGTCGGCATTACAGTATTCACAGAGAAAGCCACGGGCGGTACAAAGCTGTAAAAGAGATCGAGAGAGAGAGAGGCAAAGAAAGAATTATTTCGATTTTATAAGAAACAAAATCAAATGCTTCTACTTACAACACAGTTAAATATGTGATTTTCACATTTAATAATCAGTTCATCAATAGACCTCTGCAGGCAATTACTGCGAGCATCTATAAAATCCGACATTGACCAATTATCAATGTCTGAGGTGATGTAGTCGGGTACGGTTTCAAAATAGCTTTGTTCACGCAAGGCAAAACGACACGTGCGTATAAAGTCTTTAACATATTTTAGCTGTAAACGGCTTTGGCGGGCACTCAACAATGATTTGCTACGAAAATATAAGGCAGGATTTAGATCGGGTACATAGAAGAGCGGATACGTAGACATTTGTTCCAGCAAACGATAGGCAAATACACTGACAGGATAACATTTGAAATCCCAGCTGTAAATAAAAAAAATATTTTGTTTTATAAATTTCTCTTTCAAGATGATCGAAGTTGCAATGAAAAGGAAAGCCAGAGGAATACTACATTCCCACCAATATGCGACGCGTTTCGCCGTAGTTCTGGCTCATCTGGCATATTCGGCAATGTGGCTTACAAATGTCGTTACTTGATATGTTGTATTTATGTCAAATATTGTTGCGAAATTGCATCTACGAATTCAAATCCAACCGTGTCAAGGTTCGAACATTTTGCATCACCCCAGAACATTCCTTTTCAGAGGAGATTTTTCTTGTGGTGACGGACTTTTTTTTCCATATAGACAACAATATTTTTTCTTCAATGGTATACAACTGCATATGGAGCAACCTTAGGAAGATAAGGAGGTGGCTTTGAACCATGGGAACCAGAGTTCAAATGCCAGCCGGGCTCAAGCTGAATTTTTGAGTTTTATGCCTTTTTAGGGAGAAGGATCATTGATGTACATTTTGTTAAATGTAGTTCTCTTTGGGTTTCCTTTTCATTGCAACTTCGATCATGTAGCTCATCTCGAAGGAGAAATTAATAATTATCCCACAAATAGGAGTGGGATTTTTAAAGTTAAAATTTTTAACGGTTATCCCACAAATAGGCTTGAACGTACTTTTGCAATATTTTTGCTGGTGTTGCCGAAATCTGATTTCGATGACAACCGGTGCAATGATACTTTCCCAAATATGTACAATAGCGAAAACTCTGGACATATTGCGGTGATACACGCATGCCACAGCCAGCACAGCGATAATTTTGTTTCTTTAACAATTCTTTGCGCCTACAAAGAAAAAAAATAAATTAATTAAAAAATGTTACAAAGAAAAAACTCTTCCCCCTTAAACTTACTCCATTGCCGGATGATCGGTAAAGATAATTTGCTGCCTTGGTGGTGCCCAATATTTGGTACCGCGCGTTACCGAATGTATCACATGTTCATCGGGATTGTTACCCGTTAGATCAGGCATTGGTAAGAGATTCTGGGGTGTATCCTCATCGGAGACTAGCCATTTCAGTTCGGATACCTTTGGCAAATGTTTCTCATCAAATTTGGAAATCAGCGATAGTCCCACTACCTCGGCTGTTAGTAAATCCACAGATGACACATCTTCGGCATAGGGTACATGTTCTCCTCCAACGATATATTCATGATCTGCCGTACAATTCGTTTGTACTTTTGTAGATGTAGCTGAAGAAGAGGTGGAGGAGCAGTTACGCTCTGCTGAAGAGAGACAATCCGTAGCCAAGGGGGTGGCTGGAAAATATAAAAGGAGAATTTGATTATTTAAAAAGGGTTTGGTTAGGGAAGAAAATTAAGACCTATTTTGACAAAAAATATTAGGTTTGGGAAAAAATCCATCATACTGATAGATTTGTCGTAAAGTATCGATCAAACAATTTCCGATTTATGCTCGTTGACATTTCGCAGTCGTAACATCGCCCAGGAATTAAAAATCGACCATAAATTTTTTAGACAACACAAATAATTGTATTTATTTTTCTCCAACCTGATATATATTATTTTCCCCTTTGTATAGGGTAACCCCACTAAACTGTAACCGATCATGATCACCCCACGTGATCCTACTAGTGATTCCGGTACTACGGCTAGAACTCCGTCTAGTTCTCCATACAGCTAGTGTTCTCCATCCAGTAGTACTACTACTAGTGTTCGTTTCCACGACAATCGGGTCTACGCTCCGGAACGACCCGAGTTCGACACGGCCAGGGATTGTCAACTGAGCGACAGCTAACAAATAATGTCGGCCGCTTTGCTCGCCATTCAGTTCAGTGTGTCATTTACGCATCGCTGCAAATTCCAACTCAGTGCGATTTAGTTTTGTTTATGGCGGTACCGAGGAATATAAAATCGTTCACTACCTCGTAGTTTTCAAGTTCCACAGTTGGTCCGAATCTACTGGACGTCTTGCGCGTTGATACCATCATCTTTGTCTTTTCGCCATTTACTGTCAGTCCTATTTTGGCAGACTCCTTCTCAATTCGTTCAAAGGTGGCTGTTACCGCTCGCAATGTTCGATCCATTATGTCGATATCGTTGGCGTAGGCGAGTAACATGTGTTATCTGGTGTACAGAGTGCCATTTCTGTTGACATTTACATTTTCCAGCAGAACTTTGTCTGAAACCTCGTTCGGTATTGAAGGGCTCCGACAGGTCCTTTCCTACTTTAACAGCTGACATTATACCAGTTAACTTTAACTGCATAGCCGTATTAATTTTACAGGAATGCCAAACGCAGACATGGCTTTAAACACATCAGCCCTATCCGTGGCTGTCGAATGCGACTTTATAGTCGACAAATAGATCTGGTCAATGGTGGATTTGTCAGATCCGAAGCCCCATTGGAACGGTCCAATAATGTCATTGACCATTAGCTTCAGTCGTTAACACAGTACGTTGGATAGCACATTATATGCGATGGGAAGGAAACCTAATTCCTCTATAGTTGGCACATATCGTCTTGTCTTCTTTTTTGTGCACGGTACACAGGATGCTGAGGTTCCAATCGTTGGACATGCATTCCTCTAGCCAAATTGTACAAATGAGCTGGTGCATGCTCCTGACCAGCATCTGACAACCGGACAATATTGTAACTATCGCAACGCTGTTGGATCGCTCAGGATCGCATCGACCACAATTCTTCTTTTTCGACTCATAAACTCCACAATTTTAGCGACATTCTTCTTCGAAGTTCGGTGAAACGATGAAAGACTGCAGAAAAAAAACCAGTCTCAAAAATACACCCTTCCTCTATATTCATTGCATCTCACCGAGAAATAGATCGGTTGAAAAATGTTGCTAAAAACAATTATCTGCAGGGATGTCAGTCCCTTCATCCTCCTAAAACAAAAAGAAACTAATTTTTTTTCTTTACTGCACTCACCTTCTCGACTTAATTTTTCCATTGTAGTTTCATCGGGTATCTGCTTATTCCATTTGATGTGTTCTATAGCCGATATAATAGCCTCTGATATACGAAAATGAGCATTTTCCTTTTCCAATTCGGTGTTGTTTCGCGATGACTGGGACATTTGAAGGAATCTCGTTAGACTTTGGCAATTTTTTGCCGAAGTCAGTGGCGTCGTCGACGTCGCCGTTGTTGTTGTTGTCGGTGAACAACTTGTTGTTCCACACATTGCGCTCTCCTCTTTGGTATTTAGACCCGAAGACCGTGATGCGTTCAATGTTGTATACGGCGTGGAATAATCCAAGGCGCTACTAACCACATCATCGAATAAATTCTGCGTATTACGATTGCGTAATTTTTTACCATAAATTGGTAGAAATTTATCCAATACCGTGGAGCCTAACGATGATGAGGATGTTGATGGCAGGGTGCCGGGATGTGATAATGATGCAGATGCGGATGATAGTGTATGTTGTCGTTGTGGTGGTGGTAGGAGTGGTGGTGATGAATTGATGGAATCAATTGCCTGTTCGGGTATTTGTTGATTGTGTTCGTGTAAACTGTGATCTGTGTACCAGGATGTGTATGAAGGCGGGGTACTAAATAACGAGGAGAAAAAACTATTCAAGGGGCTAAGGCTTTTCGAGGTGGAGGCAGATGATGGCTTATTTAGGGAAAGACGTTTTCGTATTAAGGGAATTGCTTGAGCTGGTGTGGTGGCAGCTGATTGTGTGTGACTTCCTCCTCCTTTGCCGCACTGCTGCTGTTGCTGCTCCCACGAATGATCAGTCCATATTTTAATATCATCCGTATTGATTAGTTGTATATGTCGCGTTGTGGACTTGGAAGAGGATGATGACATTGAGGTTGCAACGGAACATGAAGAGGAGGATGATGCTGTGGAAGCTGTTGAATTTAAGTGTAAACTTGATGTTGATGGACTTGGTTTCGAGGTAGAGTTGTGGGATGTTGATGGCTTTGGGCCAACATCGCCACCACAATTTAGGCTTAATAGCTGTGTCATTTGATTTTCATCGTAAACATTTAATTGTGGAATTGTTTGTTCTATCATCTTGTTATGTTTTATATCAGCTATAGTTTTACTTCTGGGTCGTGGCGGAACGGGACCATCCCTTATATCATCATCATCTTTGGCATCTTTAGGGTGATAATAACATTTAAATTCCGGAAGACTTTTGGTTTTGCGTATAGTTAACAATACTGTGTGTTTGGGGTGTGAGTGGTGTTGGTTCGAAACTATTCGAGCATTATTCGAATCCGCTACGATGCTAGTGCTACTGCTGCTATTGTCCAACAATCCATGGCGACGTTGTGGTGATTTTTTTCCAGGCAATAGCAGCACGACATTCGGTTGGGAATTACAACGTTTATGTTTGGTTTCATTAACACCAGCCAATCCTCGTACTCCTCCTCCCCGGCCTACACCGTCGCCTATACCACCACCATTACACTCCTTGAGCAATGTATCAATTTGTTTCAACAGACCCTGTTGATGTGTTTCAAATGCACTCATGCCAATGAATAACGCATTGACATACTCCTCTTGTCGCAACAATGCATACGTGGTGTAATGCTCCTCCAGCAGCTCCTTATCGGAAACCAACAACTGCAAGAAAACAAATAAATTTGCCGAGTCGTGCAGATTCTGAAGTAACCACTGTGTCAATTGTCCCGTCAATGTTTGACGCTGAGGCCAACCACGTTGCAATACACTTGATGAGGAGGCTGGTGGCGGGGTAGGTGGTCGTCGTCGTCCTCGTATTGTATTCGAAGCAGAACTTTGTGAGCATTTCGATGCATTATTGCGTATATTTACAGCATTGAGTAACCATTCGAAGTCGTCGATTATTTTATTGGGTGAATCTAAATCGGTCGTCTCATCATGGTAACTGTCGGCGCAAGTCACCGTTGCTGGTGGTATTGCGGTTGTTGTCGTCGTCGTCGTTGCTGGGAATGCTGATGATGAATCACTACTACTACAAGTTGATGTAAGTGATTTGACCTTGTTGTTGTTGCTGTTGTTTTGTTGTAGCTGTAAGTACAAAAAAGAATACAAGATTGGTTCTGATTAATCGCCATGCAATCATTTAGACGTCATTAAGTTTGGTCGGATCGGGGGACATTTTATATTTTCCAATGGTGGATTGTTTTTATATTTAAAAATATTTGACCAAATGGGATTTTTTATGAAGGTATATGGCATTGTGTTTACAACTTAAAATGCAAAATATAGAGAGAACGAACCTGGAGGTATCCTAAAATAAAAATAAAGTTTAAAAACGACCTGACCTTTTAGGAATAAAAACAGTTGGAAAGTAATAAAGTCGAATGGAGCCGACTATATGATTCCCTTCAACATTTTAGGTATATATACAAGAGATGCTACAAAGATTTTTAAAAACGACCATTGAAGAATCACCTTTTAACAGAAAAGAAATTTTTTAACAGTATGACCGGAATTCTGCTAGGAGATTTTAATGCAAACATCGGAAAGCGAAATATTTTTGGTCTATTTCTATATTATCGATCCATACCAATGCGGCTTCAGTCCTGGCAAATCTACCATAAACTAGATTTTCACACTGCGCCATAGCCGACGAGCTTGCTCGAGGTGAGGTTACAGTCGTCCAATCTTCCGATTGAGAAATCTGTGCAACCATCCATTGGCTATTTCATTGGCAAAATCTGTTTGTTCTACGGCGATGGTAGAGAGAACAACGCTGATGGGCAGAATACACAGTTTGAAAGATATGAAATTGATAATCTAGATTTCTCCTACAAAATAGACCCCAATCAGATCCTAGGTTTTGTTAAAAAAAAAATAAAAATAACCATCTTCTAGGCTACACTACTATTTTCTCCTCACTTCCACTCTCTCTTCGTTTCCCTTTTCTTTCAGGTATCAAGGATGATCTCAATGGACACTAGTCTTCAAGTGAACTGTTGTTACTAACAACCATACATCCCTAACCTAACATCGTTCTAAAACGACAGTGGGGGGAAAATTGGTGCAAACGCGGAATAAGATCGGGTTTAACCTTAAAAAGAGTTTTATTTTTTTTTTAAGATTGTTGATGTTTAGGTTGATTTTTGAGTTTTAATCTATTCTGAGACCTATAGCAAAACTTCATGGGGAATATTTTTGGCATTGAAAAGACCCCTTCATCAATAGAGAGTAAACATATTAGACAAAAATACGTTTAAATCAGTAATATTGCCAAAGACACAATCCATATACCTCAAGGTTTTTGCGAAAACCCTAATCGGAAAATTGTCCTTTTTTGTTTATCTTCTGACAAAACGCCGATATATGAGTCTACTATTGGTATGCCCCTCTTTCACAATCCGTTGGAAATTCCCAATAATAATTTGTTTATGTTTCACAGTGTAATCTGCATTATTTTGCAATTTGCAATGCAAAAACTAATGATACTAATATGATGATGACCCATATAGCCAGACGATAGCCACCAGCGAACAAATTCGATTCATGAAGACAATGACCTGTTTAAATTCTAAGGCAATAACTTTATCGCCTTTGTTGTTGATGGCCAAATTTATAGCAGACAAGATGGCGATAGCGACGATAGTGACAAGTGGTAGACAACTAACAGTGAGTGATTTCCCCCTAAACAACTTGATATAAACAAAACAAATTTTGTTTATGCATGTAGGTATTCCCCGAATGCCAAGAAATTCATTTGAAAAAAAAAAATACAACAAAAAAAATTAAATTCGATATTACGACTAAATTTTGATTTTAGAATGACCTTGAAATCTCACAGAATTTTTGTTGTTATTGTTTTAAAATATTCATAAAAATTAAAAAAAACAACAACAACAATACAATATTTATGGTCTCCACAAGGTTTGTAAACACCAATACACAAACTGAATACCCAACCATCACCTCATCTCAAATAAAAATATTTTCAAGCTGAAAAGTGGTACAATGAACTGGTTGGTCGGTCGATTGCTTGATGGTGTGTTGTTGTTGTTGCTGAATGGCAGAAGAGTGCATTCCAAGCATTCTTTACTACGTAATCATCACAACTCAGCTGGGCTCCCCACACCGCAGCAGAGCACCTCCATCGTCAACAACAACAACTTACAAAACGCCCAGTTCGCATTGCATTAATGACGAAACAACGATACGAGACGACGACGGACGCAAGTCAGCCAGCCATTCATTCATTCATGCAACACACACTCGAAGCCCCACTCACAAACAGCAACAACAAAACAAAACAAGGACAGACGACGAAAAAACAAACTTTCACTACAACGAGAGAATTCCAAAACAATATATCTCGAATATTCGGGATCTCATCAGGATAAAATGAACAACCCACACAATAATTACCTTCTTGCTCTTGTTCTCCTCCGGATTTATTTCCACCAGTCCATAGAGTATAATATCAAAACATGAACTTTGTATCTCTTTAAAGGTTTCCGCGGCAGCCTCACTGAAAAACCACAACTCAATTGATTTCTTAAAATTTACAATTAATTCACGACACTTCTCCCGCTGATGAAACAATGGCTGTTGTTGTTGTAGCAAAAGTTTTTCTTTTACTTTTTGTGACATATTTCCGCAGCAGTTGATTCGTGGTATTGTTTTTCATTTGCATTTGCTTGGTATTTTTTCGTTTCGTTTTGTTTTTTGTATTTTCACAAGAATATTTTTTTGTTTAATAAAAATAAAAGTAAAATGTTTACTGCGTCCTTGTTTTTTTTCGAAAATTACTAGCACAAATATTTTTATTTTTTTTTTATTTCGCAACACAGAGAACACAATCTTTTTTGTTTATGGTCGTCATTCGATTAATTGTGTTATCGGATTTGTAATGTATTGTTTTGCGTGTATTAGCAATGTTGCTAATTGTTTGATTAAGTTAGTACAGGGTGACACAAATTAAATAAAATGTCTCACATTAGCTTAGCACAGGGGTACTCAAAAAGGGACACAATTCAAATGATGTGGATTTACGAATGTCTGCAAAAAAAATAAAGGTTATTTACACCGACTTTGAGGTCAATTCAAATGAGTGTCAGTTGGTATTTGTTTACATTTATACACACACATTCATGGTACAATAAGAAGAGGTAGGTTTACTTCACGAAATTAACATATTTGTTCTGTTCCCGTACTGCAAGAATCTACTAGATTTTACTATTTTCTTCGATAACACAAAGGAAATTTCGTTATTGTAGTAAAAAGTAGCAGATTCTTGCAGTACGGGAACATACCAATTATTGTACAAATGCCAGCTGGTGCATTAGTACAATTTGGTTAGAGGAATACATGCCCAATGAATGGAACCTCAGCATCCTGTGTCTGTGCACAAAAAAGGAGACAAGACGATATGTGCCAACTATAGAGGAATAAGTCTTCTCCCCAACGCATATAAAGTGTTATCCAGTGTACTGTGTGAATGACTGTATCCAATGGTCAATGACATGCGGTTTCAGGCATGGCAAATCCACCATTGACCAGATTTTCACTCTGCGCCAAATCCTGAAAAAGGCTCACGAAAAACACATCGACACATACCATCTATTCGTCGACTATAAAGCCGCATTCGACAGCCCTATCCGTTCAGAGGTGTTTAAAGCAATGTCTACGTTCGGCACTAATACGGCTATGCAGGATAACTTTAATTGCGACAAGGTCAGCAGTTAAAGTCGGAAAAGACTTTTCGGAACCTATATTAATACTGAACAAGGATTTAGACAAGGTGACAGATTGTCGTGTGATCTTTCTAACATTCTGCTGGAAAAGATCATATGAGAGACAAAGGTGAACAAAAATTACACTCTGTACACCAAACAACCCATGGTACTCGCCTACGCGGATGACATCGAAATAATGGGTCGAACATTGGGAGCGGTAACAGCCACCTTTGAACAAATTGAGTCTGGCAGTAAATGGTGAGAAGACCAAGCTGATGGTATCAATGCGCAAGACGTCCAGTAGACTCGGACCAATTGTGGAACTTGAGAACTACAGAATTGTACTACCTATTCTCGGACATTCTCTGCAACGATATTAACATGTTATGATAATGGATTAAGATGTCCGGCCTCAATAGGCATATAAAGTGAGCCAATTTATGGATCACGTAGAAGGGGAAGCCACAAATTCTATGGAAACATCAAGTAGAAGACAACATCTCGAAGCATGGTCTTTCAACGGTGTTAGAGAAAAAAGTTGCATAACTTGTAAAATTAGTAGATTCTTTTGAGGTTCTGAAACGGAACTTATGAAAATGATTGTTTTATACAACATATGGTCTGTTACTGTACTGCAAGAATCTACAAATTGTTACTATTTTTCGGTGTCATAAAGGGAAAAAATTTATATCGGAGTAAAAAATAGCAGATTCTTGTAGTAGAAGAACATACAGTTAATGAAATCAGCTGGTTTTTGCAATTACCTTTTAATATTGGTACAATTCTGAATACGACCATGGCATAATTCTACAAGGTGTTCTCATGCATTCCTATGTTTCCAATTTCTTCATAAATTTGCTTTTGACAGCATTAAGCTTTCCAAATTGAAATGAAAAGAAGATTAATAAGCTTGGAAATGTACGCGTATCATGTGTTCCAAGATCAATTAATAAGCTATCGAATGTCCAATGTCAAAAATTTTAACTTCGTTTAGGTTTTTATAATGGAAGTCAACTTGAGAGGCATCGGATATTTAGCTGGTCTCCCTGGGTGACCTTATTTATAGGCCTTGATGTGTTCAGTGTATTTACTATTGGTCTGTTCCCGTACTGCAAGAATCTACTATTTTTACTACGATAACGAATTTTCCTTTATGATATCGAAAAAATTATAAAAACTAAAAGATTCTTGAAGTACGGAACAGACCATATATATGTTATTGAACACACGTTTTCATAAGTTCCGTTTCAGAATCTCAAAATAATCTACTAATTTTACAAGTTTTGCAACTTTTTACTCGAAAACCGTTGAAAGACCATGCTTCGAGATGTTGTCTATTAATCCAACATCTCGAGTAGATTCTTGCAGTACGGGAAGACCATATACCTTTCTTAAGGGCTAAGCAGAATGCTCGCGTTGAGCCATCCGTCGCGTTATATGTTATCGAAAATACAACAACCACAAGGATACGATAACACAAACGCTTATCGTTTCCTTGTGGTTGTTGTGTTTTCGATAACATATTACACGACGGATGGCTCAACGCGAACATTCTGCTTAGCCCTTTATTGCCTTAGATCAGGTTTAGACTACTAAATCCACTCGATCTCAAATGTCAATGTACCAATGGTATATACGTCACCTTAATCATGTTCACAAATCCAGTGGATTATATTTGAAGTATATGATATAGAATTGGCATTTGAGATCGAATTGATTTCGTAAATCTAAACGTTGAGACATGGCTCTGAACATTCTAACTTTTAGTAGGACGTTAGCCAGAAGGGAGAGGAGATAATAAAAAAATCTAAACGTATTTTTTTTGCATCTTGATTCTCTTGCGAGGCCAAAATTATATTCACATCATAAACCGATTATGCCATGTGCTTCATACTCTAACTACAAGTAACCGATAACAAATGACAAAAATCGATTTACAGAACCCTACTTTTTGGATGGTAAACATGCGGCAAACAATGCATTTCCATATTGCATTATCATAATACAAAAAAAGTCTTATATTTCCATAAAATAAAAAAATCTATATATAAAAAATATATTACAAATAAAAATACTAATTTATTAACACATTTAATCCGATTACTGAAAAATAAAAAAATAATTCGTCAACATTATCGTTCGAAGGAAATAGAAGATAAGATGATATGAAATACCAAATAACGACGACGACGACGAACGGCAAGAAAACCAAGTTGTCAAAATTGCGTTAAAAACAACGCAGGGCGACGCATTCACCGAACTTAACGTTTCCCCGTAGAGAGCAACAACAATAGGCTATTTGCCTGCTAACGGCAAGCAACGCAATATTTGGACTTGCGTTTTTTCGCCACCAACTTTCGGCTGTAATCGTCGGTGTGGTATACACATAAACGGAAAAAACGAATAGAGGCCTGCCAATAGCGTTGTCGGCCAGTCATCGACTTTGTCTTTTTCTGTGGCTTGTGAAGTACGGACGTGTGACTGACTGTTCGTAGAGACATAAAGAAATAATTTCTTTCTTTTGGAAAATATAATTTTAATTAGAAAAAATTTTCAACGTTAAACGGAAAAAAGAGATAAGAAGAAATACTCCACACACCGTGTTAAATAATAAGAAAAAATAAGTGGTGGTGATATTATTACTAATATCTGCGAGGAGAATACACATTTGTTCCAGCCAGATAAGCAGAATAGAGAAAAATTTTCAAAGTCGTAAAAAAATTGGGACTTAGAAAATTTTCGTTGAATTTTTCTTTGTATTCATACCTCCTCGTTGGCTGGCGGACTTGTCGTGTAGTCGTATAGAGACAACAACGGAACACCACCACCACTTGTGATTTTTTCTTATTGTTCCACATTATAACATATTCTCGTCGTCGTTGCTGTTTGGCTGGCTAGTTGAGTGCCTGTCTGCCTCGTTGTATTTTTCGACTTGTAAAAATTTTTCAATTTTTTCGTCGTTTCACTTGTGGTGTGGTTGGCGATTACGGGCTAGCTGGCACAACGAAATCGAAGAGGAAAGCAAGCAGTGTATAGCAGCATCTATAGAGAAAAAAAGACTTGTGAAAATTTTCAATTTTTCAACGTTGTTTGCCTGAACAAATAAATTGTCATCTACCAAGGAAAACTAAGTGAATTTTTCCCCAAGTCAATTCCAAAGCTTCATCCATTTAAAGCGTAGCAGAACCAACCACAAGGCAAGGCAATTAACCAATTGACCACCATGAGTGTTGATGTGTCGACCGAAAATGTAAGTAGAAAAAATGTGATTTTTTACAATGTCTTTTTTTTTTGTAATTACATAAAAAACTATGTTTTAATTTTCTTTAAAGATTTTTGGTTAACAAAAAATTTTTCATTTATTCAAGATTGAAAAAATTTGAAAGAAAAAATGTATCTATTTGTTATCTCTGGGTGATTTGTGTTGTAAATACACTTGAATTTTGTTGTTTTTGTTTAATTTTCTGTTCAATGTTATTATTATATAGACTTTGAAAAAATTCACGAAAATGGCGACAAGTCAGTCAAGTCAACTCAACATCATCATACACAATATCAAATAAGTGTTCATACAACAATACAAGTACTCGGTGCTGTGCTCTATTGTGCTGTGGCCTGCCAGTTGTGTTTTACTTTGAATTCTCTGCTGCTTCTTCTTCCTCACCTCAACATTATTGCACAGTGAGACCAGCAAGGCAAAATTTTGGACAAAAGTCTAAAAAGTTAAAATATCCTAAATATCGTTACTCTGAGGTTTTCGGAGTCCCTGATTGCGAATCCGAAATCATATTTTAAAAAATTCAAAATGGCGGATCCAATATGGCGGACATTATTTTCGAAAATTGATCAGATTCGTCTGAAACCCATCACTCGGGGGGTTTTCGGGGTCCCAAAATACGAATCCGAAATCAGATT